TATATGTAGTAGCATTATCGCTTACCATCGCTAGATAGTGGTTGAACGTTGGCCTATTAAATATAAAAAAAACAAAAGGTTGTAAATTCCAAAACTACTCTGCCTTACTTGGGTTTCAATCCTGCAATCAAGCCCACAATACCCGATCAGTAAGAATACCAAAATGAACTTAGTGCCTATAAAACTTTTAAAGAGAAACAACTATTATACTTACTAACTTACGTATAAGACCTTTTTGAACATAATAGCATTCATTACCATAACAAGTACGTAGGAATGACATAATATTATGACACAAAACTACAATCTTGGCTAAATGATACAAAGTTAATTAAAACTATACTAGATTAGATTAGTTTAGAACTATAAACTTTGTTTTTTCATTACCTGCAAGTCTGAAGCTTAGTGAGCAATAAATAAGCGTAGTCTGTGGCTGCAACTACTCAAGAACTTACGGCCTGCAATTTTCCGCTGGAGCACGTAAATTAAATGGCCGTTCTATGAAATAAAACACGCCGTGCCTTAGCCTCCGCCTGCACCTGTGCTTGCAATTAGGTATTTTCATAGAGTTTTCTATTTGAATACTCTAGCGATATCATGCATATATTTCGGCGTTTATATGCACATATTGTTCATAAAGAATGCACAAAACCGCATACTGTAACAAAGTAGTATAGTTTAGTTATGTATATTCTTTCATTACCCTCATTGTTAAAATGAAATGAACCAATTGTTAATTTCTTTTTCTACTCGATAGTTTGACGTTTGGCCACCATCTCACCTGGTGGTAAGCGGTGATGTGGCCGACGATGGAGCACGCCTACTTATGAGCAACCTGTTCACTCGCGACTTGCAAACACCCAAGTTATATTTGCCGAGAAACACAGATTCCAGCAAGGAATGCCATTCGATAAATAATTTCGAAATATGGAATTCGAAAAAATTTGGAACGCCATACTGCAACATATTTTGGAAGAATAAATCTCAAATATTAATATGTCCCACTCGGTAATCGAATTCAAGACTTCGTAATACTCCAGCCGTAGCAACGAAACAGTCTTGTAATGACAGACTTTAATACAGATATGTTGAAGAATTTCTATTTCCGATATACATTCTATTTTTTTCCTACTACATTTCTCGGAAAAAATACTAAAGCAAAATAGTGAAAAGAAAATACAGGGTATGAAAAATATTTTTCCTATCTTATTGGTTCTCCAATTGCATTCGTTACGAGACACGCGGACGCTGGACGGTGCACGGGAGAGGAAACGTGACCGGGCGACTGCAAGTGGCCTGCGAAATTGTGTACCGGAATCTCGGCACATTCACAAGTGCCTTCTTACCGAGTTCGAGATTTCACAGATACGTACGCATTGTGCTCGACGGGGCGGAAAAGTCTTATATCATTTTCAATATATTCAATAAATTTTTGTACTCTTTCTCGGCTTATTGTTTCTTTTTGTTACATATTAAAAATTAGCTGATAATGAGGAAGCGTCTGGGGTTTTGCTTTTTATTTTCGAGATGACAGTTTTTTCTTAGGATAAATATCCATTACAATACAAGGTAAAATGCAATTCCATTAATTATTTAGATACATATAAGTACCTATACAATACTACTGAAAAACAATCAATGTTAGTAAAGTACATAAAGTAAAATTTATTCATAATTCAAAAATGCAAAATACAAAATATATCTTAAATAGGTAAGTAAATTTAATCTCATAAGGTTAGATGCCTGCACTAGGACAATCCTGTATCGCAGGCGAAAGGAGTAGAGCTTCTTATACATAATTCTTATAGGAGGACATCTTACTTCTATAAACACAAATACATAGGTACTTATCATTATACAACAGTAGACAATATCATTATTTTAATATTCATACAATATACATACTAACATACCGAATAAAAATGTCGAACGAAAAAAAACAAAATAGAGTGAGTAGCTTCAATTAAAGGTGGTATACAATAGATGAGTTCTCTAGATTATTCAGTACGTGATGTTTATCTAAGCCAACATGTTTTCATTACACGCTTAAGATCGCACGTAGGAAATATATTGCATTGACTGCTGTGCACTTTGGCTCATATGTCTTAATTAACCCATGGATGGCCACTATGGAACGTGAACTAAGTTCGACGGCCAGCAGATTCAATAGCAACGTACAGAAGTTATGTATACTAACCACGTCGTTTTAGTCCCATGATTGCAGTTCAACCACAATGTTCCAACTTTAATCGTTTACTACTTTTAGTTTCGAACTTTTGAAGCTCATCGAGTTAATCGGTATTTAAAATACGATACTGTTTATCAGTGTAGGAATCGGTAAAATGAATGAATAAACTGGTTTCTCGATAGAATGCAGCCTTTAATAGACGTGATTCTTTTGTTCTTTAAAACAATAACTGTAACATAGAGAGTTACCTCTCGATACAATGCAGAACTTCCGAAGTGGTCATCCATGCTGATTTAAAAGCATAGCTTCGGTTAATTCTGACTTCGTTAGGGGAGATCCCAAGTGGCTACTCTTTATAACAAGTGTGGGTATCTTCACAACAACCTGAGTCGCTTGACCCGACCGCGGTATCGAGCTGGAATGTTTACTTAGTAGATTTGTCTTGATTACCTATCTAAAGAAGATTATAATGTGTTAAAACTATTTATTGTTTCCATAGAAACGAATTGTTTATAGGTATAAAAACTAAATAAGTATTTCTCTTGGCAAAAACCTATAAAGGCATTACCCACCCGTTCTTCAGGTTTAGCATAGCGACGATATACGTATTTATTTATGCCGATCGTATAAAATACAAATAGTAATTATTGAATGTACCCTTTTGCAACTTAATAAATTTATTTTATAAATTATAACTGCAGTTATAATTAACTGTTAAAAGTGTTTTATTTAGACAAAACGTTTTTTGATATATCATTTCAAATTAATATATATGGAAATCATCAAAGATAAAAAGGGCAATCTGAAATTATTTACTTTTTATTAAATTATTTTTTCCAAAGAACGATCAAATTAACCAATAGACTCAATTTGGTTGCTCAGTCTATTTTAACAAAGGAAGTCTAGATATTTTTATGCATTGACGAGAATATCTAATGCTGTCTACCCCGATAGCGATCAATAAACTGCAGGTCAAAATTGGTCTGTATTGTACTTTGGTTTTAAGTACCATTTCTGTTTGTTGTAAATAATTTAATCAATTAAAATAACATAATAATAATGTAATCCAAAACATCAGATTCCCATTGTTATGCAAGAGAAATTAAATAAGTTATAAGTAGAATTGCGACTACCGATACCGCTGTGTTATTATAAATTATGAATAATAAATAATTCAGTAGTTAAGCAATTACACTCAGCATTGCTCTTCCCCAAGTTCGTTAAGAAATAAAATTCTGTAGTTCACTGTTAATATAAGTGAGGGTTTTTAAACGTGAACCATTATGTTAATTGTTATTTAAATTTCGAATCTGTAATTATATTATTTTCTTAACTCGTCGAGTACCGTCATTATAGACATAATTATAGAACAATAGGTTGCGGTCACCGGTGACCGCTTGGTGTTTGACAGTTTAAATATACATTTACTTAAATTTAATAAAGTGAATAAAATTAATCTAAATAAGCAACGTTTGTCGCTCTTGGATAGATACGAAACACTGGCGTAGGTATTTTAAGGGTGGAAAATCATTCAATGTCTCCTGTCGCCTTAGGTGAGGCGAGATTCCTTTCTCCTCTCGCCGCTCGTGTCAGACTCTTACTGAAATACTGTGTCACCCCGTTCCTACTCCTGCTCTTCGATCCGGAGCCTCGGCAACCCGTTAAGTCTTCCGCGTCTCCGTATCAGACATCAGTTCCAGTTTTGAGGTATTCGTATTTTTTAGTTAGGTGAGGGCTCTGCTTAAATCTCCACGTGACGATGATTTCGTCAACGTAGACCGGTGCGGAAACATGGCCCGGTACGTTGGTCGACGTACGTATATTAAAATCCCACACATTAAATAAAAGGGAGAATAATTTGAAACAAATTTAGTTGTGACTGTAGCCAAAACACGTTTTCGATTAATTAGGCCTACGCCTACCTTCGAACTATATTCTTAACTAGGTATTTCTTACAGCAACTTTAACACTTAGACATATTATACTATTTTTTAGCATTAACATTTGAAAGCAGAGAAAATATTGTTCGGAAATAATATGTTACCTATCTAATATATAGGGCACAACATGATGGAGGGAAGTTTTCGCAAGCTTTTGACATCCTACACAAATAAACTGATATTGTGTCGCCGAGATATGGGTATGGGCACCGAATGTAGGGCAGGCAACTCCGCGGTTCACCGCCACTGCTGTGGGAGCATACAGATTAAATAAATAAGTACACACAATGTAAATATTCGTACACCATTCTATAAAGAAATTGCTTTGTAACATTTTGCTTGCAATGTAATTTCAATCGTATGCGCCATTTATTTTTACAACTTTTAATTAACACAAAACTTATTAAAAGTATACTGGGCGTGTTTGTCGCAAAACAAAATCTTCTGACGATTCCGCATAAGAGGACAAATAACAGTCGTCTTTTAATGAACTAAACTACCAATTAACATTAAAATAAATAAATAAATTGGCCGGTTTTTTATTCTAACGCGACAGACAACTCCATCTTCATTTTATCCTAAACTTAGCGTGAGTTTTTTCCGTAAAACTGGGGACGAATTATTATAAAAGTGGTAGGTAATTAACATTTTATTAACACCATGTTTTGTTTTAACTAAAAGTTCCATTTACTTTAAAATACTCCAGACAATTGTCAGTTAACGTAGGTTTACCCATTTTTTTCAGAGAACTTGCTAACAGTTTCAAAATTAAAGATATAAAATTTATAAGTCTGTAAAATCAAGTGAGATTTATTTTCCGTGGTGTCGCGCGCAGGTTTGAAGTTTTAATGCGAAGGAGTCCGGTTGTGTAGTAATTAGGAGGTGAGTACGCGTCGCATCGGCTGCGGCGGCGCGACGGTCGATAGCTGGAGCGACAGGCGGTGCCGGCCCGGGTCACGCCTGCTGCGATCGATACCGGCGCGGCGGCGGGAGCATTCGAGCACTACGCTGCCACCGGACACGACAGCAGCCAGTCCGCCTCGCGACACCGGCGACGAGCGGCGAGCGAGCGAGCGCGGCCGCACATACACGCGCTAGCTCCCATGCGACTCTCGCACGCGTCATGAGCGGCGCCCGCCCCCGCTCCGCGCCGCTCCTGCTGGCGCTCGCGGCCGCCTTCCTACCGCAAGCCAACCATGTCGCGTGAGTACTACTCTCCAGCTAGCATCTCCTGTTCACACCATCACTATTTACCAACTGCCTCCATCTGAATATGCGTTCGACATAAACTTAAGTACAGTTCCTCGAAAAGCTGGGGCGGTCGTAAACCTCGGCGAGGCTGTAAACTGGAATGCATTAGATTTACGATGTTTGACTACATTAATAGATTACTATAATTTCAGCTTTATGCAGGGTGACAATATATTAGATAAACGTATGTAACTACATTTATTTGGTATGATTCATTAGAAATAACATTAATAAAATTAGGGGTCCTCGAATTCGATGCCCAATTTTCCAAATCTATAATTTGTGTACCACACCAGTTATACCATAATTATGTAGAATCATATTCTACTTATGTCCCCCATGAAGGTAATTGAAACTTTTAAAGAAAACTTAGTGGGTAAACTTATGGCGGTATTTTAGCTACTATAATGTATTCCAAATCTTTGGTGCTAAAATTATTTAAAACTATTTTCTATCAAATATATACCTATGATACTACTCTGCAATGAACTGAAATTAATAAGTTTTTAAGGCATCATTTACTTATCCCACATTGAGACGAGACAATATCGTAAATAGACTTAGAAATGAAACAAATATTGTTTAGCAGAGATGTGAGCCCCTCTATTTTCCTCCGCTGCCTCGGGATAATAATTATGTAAATGTAGTGAAAACCTCCGCACATCATGCGCCAAATCTTCGTAGGACGTATTCACACGTAACATAACTATTTGAGGCTCAATTCGAGGTCTTGCTAATACAATAATTAGTTCCATAACACTATGTCGGGCCTGGATGACGTCACGGGCCACTCGTTCTTTGTATTCCACTTTATGTTCGTTTACAAAGCGCTCTAATACAAGGACTTAAGTACTCAAAAGCTAAAGGTGATTTTGAAGCTAAAACCTTTTATATATTCGTTAGGAAATTTTAGTCGTTTAAGTATTCTGTTTTATTCATCTATTTAAATTTTGTAATTTATTATGTACCTCGTTACAATGTTGGGCAAAAGCTTTTCTGCTGGGTTAATGTAAGGCTTTAAGCTCAGCTCATAGGGTCGATATCGGGTCAGATTTTCAAAATACTAATACAAATTACTGCTACTATTTTTCATCAACTTTTTAAATAATAAAAGGTAAAATACTTAATTAAGTAACAATTAAAGAAATTATGGGATGGGTACATAAAGTCATGCTTCGGTACGAATGGGCCGGCTCCTCAAGCGGAGTGATACCACGGCCTCACAAAAAAGCGACGTGAAACAACATTTGTGTTGTGTTTCGTCGTATGAGTGAGGTAACTGGAGGCCTAATTACCCCCTCCCCAATCGCCCCAATCCCCGAATCCTCAACCATCCTCAAGTTCCTAATCCCCAAAAAGCCGGTAACGCACGTGTAACGCCTCTGGTGTTTCGGGTATCCATGGGCGGCGCCGATTGCTCTCTATCATGTGTTCCGTCTGCTCGTTTACCGGCTTATTCCATAAAAATAAAATAATTCATGGAAATAGGACAAAAATTTAATTATATTATAAACAATTAAGATGGTTTCGTTAAAGATTTCACTACAGATTCGCAGATTTAGTTACCTTTTTATCTCATCAATGAAATCACTCTAAAGAAATTGAGTCTGGTTTACTTAGCTTATTCAATTAAGCCTATGGGCTGAATGAAATGAATTATAACTTAATCTAGCAGATTAAATACATAAGAAGAATTTACAAGGTTTTTTTTTATAAAAGATCTCTCAATCCATCAAAGTTTTTAAAAATGTGTAATCAAAATATACTCCAGGAGTATTTGATTATTCTTGAAAACTACTTTAGCGGTTCTAGAAGAAAAGTATGTAAGGATAAAATTAAGTTTGAAGAAAACATTGTAATAATAACAGTCAGTAACAACAATTAACAATAAGTTAAACTACACTAACTCCCCACGATGATGACAACAATAAACATTCTGTTACTTTAAACTGTCAAACACCAAGCGGTCACCGGTGACCGCAACCTATTGTTCTATAATTGTGTCTACAAAACCGGTACTCGACGAGTTAAAACAAACAAGGCTTTCATTAAACACAATACAAAAGATTTCTTTATTTACTAGCATAAAGGGTTTCAAATTGAGAAACACTGGATTTTCTTGACTTCAAATACTGATGCTAATAATACATAGAATTAAAGACGTTTTTAAAATTTATACACTGAAGTCTCTGTCCGTCGGAGGCAGGTAATTGACTACGTCCATACGTATTTATTAATCTTGGTATTTAGTTTAACCTATACACATTGACGTTTTACAAATATTTCCAATACATTCAGCATTAATGAAATTAAGACACTCCTGCCAATGTTTAAGAATCAATTCCTCTTGAACAATGTTTTAATCGTGTTTCATATCACACCGTTTCTCAACTTGTAACCAGACTTAACATAACAATTGTAGGTCAAAGTCAAAGTCAAAGCATTTATTTCAATTAACTCGTCGAGTACCGGTTTTGTAGACACAATTATAGAACAATAGGTTGCGGTCACCGGTGACCGCTTGGTGTTTGACAGTTTAAACCGTAATTGGACACTTTGGAAACGTCAAAAAGATAATAAGTTAATCAATATATGTATAAAATATTTGGTTTAATACAATTGTTGTGCCGATATTTATAACAACCAATTATGTGATAATTGTGTGTTTATGCTTTGATTTTTAGTAAGTAATTTGTGTTGTACTCTAAAGTACTATAAGCTAAACACACTTCGGTTCACTGTTGGTAAATATACAAATATAATAGTAAACTGTAAAATATACCAAGACATTCCACATCGGCTCGCGACTCGTAGCGTGCCTAAAACCTACCGCATTGATTGTTATTTTTATAATAACTACTTAGATTTCATGAGATAAGTTGAAATTTATGCCGCAAAATGGTTCCTGAATAATATTATTAATAAATTAAAATGTTCAACTATTAGAAAATGCTATTTTAACATGAAGACTACTTCGTTGGTCTGCTTACATATTTTAAAATACTAAGGGTTAACATCGTTATTGAGGTTGAGATCGAATATTGATTTTGACAAATAAAAATTAAGTTTTTGATTTCAAAAAAATAAATTGGGAAAGTGTAATGGAAAAGAAACAACGCGAGTTTACCACGAGAACTTATTATGTAGGTACCTAGAATTGTAATCCTGTGTTGCCGCACTATAAGATTTTTTCCTGTATCGTGGATGCGTTTACAAACATACAAGTTCACATACACATGACACCCAGACCCGAAACAACACTTTGTGGACTACAAAGAGTTGTTCCGTGCGGGAATCGAACCCGCAACACGTTGCGCGGCAGCCACTTGCCCAACCACCTCGCCAACCGTGCAGTCAGATTAAATGAACATAATATGTGTTAGTATGTATATGTAAGTCTTCATTATTCGCTATTGCTGAGCTTAGACCTGTATAAAGATATTCCCCATGCTTGGAAATCATTGAAGCATAATTATAATAAGATTTAAACATAATAATAATAATAAGATTACACCCGAATACTGAAAGGCAGTTTTATATCGTGTCATCTATGTCATTATACAAAGAATTTGTAGTGATAGAACTATCCTTCAGCGAGACTTAAAATTGAGTAGAGTTTGAGAATTGCGATGTTAGAAAATTATAAATAGTTTTGACATAGGTAAGTAAAAAGCTTACCTTATAGTAGGCGTTAATTTTTCATGATTTAATAGGGTAGATGCCTAATTTTTGT